CTTGGCATTCTTCGGATCCGTGAATCTCTGGACTGGTGAGCTTCATCAGTTCTGGAAGATGGCTAGCCAGCGTTCCTCAAATACTGCCCCTCCTCCACGCTGTATTTCCCCTCCTTCTGGAGTCTGTCTGGAGGAGATGCACGTTGCACCTGCTCGGTCTTCATTTGTTTAATCTCTGCGATATCAGTGACGTCATGAGGACTATTTTCCAGCTCACTAACTCCTTCTCTGACCACGTCTCATCCGACCCACCCACTGTAATTACAATTTTTTTGGTGAAAAGGGCTGTTTGAAAATGGCATCACCAGTGGGCTTCTCTCTTCTTTCAGACAGAGAGCTTGCACCGAGAGCCAGCTTTCCACGGGACCCCCAACTCCATTCTGTCTGGGGCTACAACGTCCCCTGCACCCCAAGACTTCCAGGGCCGGGGCAGCAGGCGTTCCCCAGACAACGCCCATGGGCAGCTGGAACCCAAGTCGCTTGCTGGTACCTCTCCCTCTGGCAAGGCCATGCCTTGTGCGCCTGCTACGAGAGCGCAGAGTCAGAGGTGAAGGTGACAGCGTCACTCTGGAATGCAAACACACTGTGTGCGGCAGCGGCCCGGGCCTCTCTGCAGGCCGCGCGTACGTCCCACGACAACGCTTCTTCCTCGGCCCCCACGTGACGCTGTGCGTCCAGGCTGAGCCCAGCTGCCGAGGGTTCCAGCTCATACCTCGCAGGCCTTCCCGGTTTCCTCCCCCCAGAGTTTCTTGCTCTTTACACAGGTTTCCAGTCCCTCTGAGTCTGTCTTTAAGCATCCTTATTTTGTACTCTGCTTGTGGATCTGGTGCAGCGGCCTGTGGGTTTTGTTGGCTCTTATTTCCTTGTGTGATCTGTGCTTTTGGACAAGGAGTGTGTATTTATTGGAACTTCCCCTCGGGGAACTCTTTGAGGTTGAAAACTGGAAGCAGATTCTTCCAGAGATATTTGCACTTCCTTTTCCCCGGCACCCAGCAGCGCCAGCCACCTGGGGTCCCACTTCACACTCAGCGCCTGGCCTTTCAGACCCGCAGGAAGTGTAAATGCAGGCGGCACCTTCTGAAGCGCCAAATTAGAGCCCCTCCTTTCCTAGGGCTGACGTCACAGAGCGCCACACCTTGCAGCTCCGGAGCCAGAGGCCAAGAGCAGGGCGTCGAGGGCTGGCCGCCTCTGCGGGCCCTGAGGGGCCGTGCTCCCGCCTCTGCCCCGGCCTCGGGCGCTGCGCTGGCCGGAGGAGGATGCAGCCCCCAAATCCGCCGCCCTCCTCACCGGCCCTTCTCCCTGTGTGCGTGTCTGCGCCTGGACCCACAGCTCCCTTTTGGTAAAGAAGCCCATCACGCCGGTTTGGGGCCCACCCTAATGACCTCACCTTAGCATGACTACACCTGCAAGGACCCTCTTTCCAAACAGGCACATGCACAGGCGTCAGGGGCTAAGACTTCAACACAGCTTCCTGGGAGGGACGCGGTTCGACCTGTAACACAGATTCTCAGGGAAGCTTTTGTTTTTTCTTTCCACCCATCGTCAAGGTCCACAGAAAACGCTTCTTGCTGTCTCGTGGAGGCTGTGGTGGCGAGGTCCACTGGCGTCCCAGCTTTTAAACAGGGCACATCTATTAGACTTGGTGCTCTGGGGGCGCAGTGCTGGGCTTCGCCCCGCCTCCCCCACGCCCGGCCAGGCTCCGCACCTGGTAGAGCTCACCCACCTGGGCACGCGCCCATGAGCAGAGACCGCTGACCTCTCTGGACTCCCTCCCTCACCTGCCTTCTGGCCTCTGTGTGTTGCTTGTTACCAGCTCTGATGAAATCAGAACTATTTCCCCACCGATTCTGTTGTTTACGAGGAAGACCAGTTAGAGCATCTGATCTGCTGCTGTAGGCAGGATGATGGCCCCCCAGAGGGACCGTCCACATCCTAACCTCTGGCACCTGTGGCTGCGTGACCTCTCATGGCAAATGTGATGAAAGCTAAGGACCTTGAGATGGGAGGGGTTTCCTGGATGATCTGGGTGGGGCCAGTCTAATCACACGGGAGCCTTTCCCAGCTGTGGTCAGAGGGAGACAGAGATGTGACGACACAAGGAGATGCCAACTGTGTCTCTTTGAAGATGGAGGAAGGGCCCACGGTCCACGGAAGGACCGGCAGCTTCTGGAAGCTGGAAAGGCAAGGAAGTGGATTCTCCCCCAGAGCCTCCAGAGAGACACGCCCGGGCCGCACCTCGGGTTCAGCCCAGGGGGACCCGCACGGGACTCCTGTAACCGACAGGGCGGGAGGACCAGTGTGTGCTGCTCTTGGCCTCTGTTTATGGAAATTTTGTCCAGCAGCAACAGACCAGCCCATGCACGTCCTGCTGGAGACGGACACCACGCCTCTTCTCTCCGGACACACTCGTCACCTCCACCCCGGCCGCCGTGCTCAGAGGACGCTGCTTCCTCCTCCCAACGCTTCCGCTCACCTCCACCCGCTTTTCGTTCATTACCTCGTCTCTCTGAGCGCTGACCTTTGTGCTCTTCAGCGTCCTCACACCTCCATCCGTTTTCAGGTTCTAAGACTATCTCTTGACTTTTACCTGGAAGAGATGAGAAAGGTAGTGCGCCCACACGGCCTCCTACCTTTTGGCTTTTCCTCTTTCCAGCTACATTTCCTGAAATCATTTCTACTCTCGTTATTATATTGTTACCAGGTGCTGTAACCAAACCTTCCCCTCGGTCAAGGCGGGTTCCTGCACTCATTCACCCCCAAACCCGCGGTGTGGCTTTCCCACTCGCCCGGCTCAAGTGGGCCTCAGGTTTGCTCATTTCTCTGCACAAGCGGCGTCTCCGCACACAGCAGCCCCTGAGGTCTGAGGGCTGGGAACTGCCTGCCTGCCGACTTACATCTCAGCGACTCCGTGAGCATAAACCCCGGGGCCCCTCTTTCTTTTCAGGAGGACTTTGTGGCACCGAATGTGCCCGGGGTGACGTCTAAGGCAAACGCAAGTGACTCCTTGTAAGGCACTCAATCTTTTGCTTGCTGCCCAGTGGATTTTTCATCTTATCTTCGAAGTCAAGGGTTAACCATTCTGTGTTGATTTGTCCCGGAGTGTGCAGTGCCTTTTCATTCCTGTTTCTGGAAAGGTAAAAACGCATGAAAACATTTGTCCTGGCCCATGATTTTGGTTTTACCCAAGTGTGTTATCCACGTGCCCGTGATGGGGGAGTTCTCTGAGATCTCGGCTTTATGCAGGGCCCAGTCTGGCTGCTGGCTTCCGGGGACCCGTGGCTAATGCCGCGGGTGTTAGAATCCCAGCTGTCACCGCGGACGGCCCAAGAGCCCAGAGGCTGCCCTGGTGGCGGCTCCTGCCTCTACTCTGCTCCGTGTCTCTCCTTCTTCCGAGCCCAGGCTCGCACTCGGCATCTCCCGCGGCGTTCCTGAGTTGGTGGCGGAGGACTGGGGTGGAGGAGGGTGTCCACGTCACCTCAGAAGATAGGCTGTTTCCATCTTTCATCCAAGAAGTGTTTCGCAAATTCTGGACACAGCGGCCTCCAGGCTGGACCTGCCCCCCGGGAACTCGCAGGTGTCAGAATTAAGGGGCACGATGCTCGCTGCCCTCTGAGAGCCCAGCTCTGATCTGCTTCCCAGCAGCCGGGGGGCAGCCCTGGGCAGGCAGGCCCCTCCTCCCTGCTGGGCCTCCCCTGGCCACACGCAGGCCTGAGGCTTCCCACCCTTTCCGGGTCCGGGCTTCACAGCAGGTGGGGTGCCCTCCCCCGCAGCCCCCAGCCCCTGGTGCCCCCAGGTCCACCTGCAGCTGCCCCTCAGGCCTCCACAGCTCTCTGCTCCCCGGCCTGGGGCTTCCCGCAGAGCTGCCCAAGCTCGCTCAGCCCTTGCTCAGGGCAGCCGAGTGCTGACGCAGGAGCTGGTCAGCAAGGTCCAGGCCTTTCCTCCCCTCCATGCGTGGACGCGAGAACGCAGAACTGGAGGCTGGCTCTCGGGGAGGTGGTGTTGGGACAACTGGGCCTCTCAGGCCTGAGAAGTTTCCTGGGGTGCGGGGGTCGGGGGTGACCCTCCCATCTGGTTCTCAGGGGCACCAGCTTGAGTCAGGCGCTGGGGCTCCGGGTCCTTGAGACCAGGGCCGGGGGCAAGCTCCAAGGCTCTCCACCTGTGTTGCCTCAAACATCTGCACTCACCTCCCTTGTCTGTAACTAAAACTGACATCTGCCGAGCGCCAGATGTACACCCAGCTCCAAGGCTCCCTTGACCTTCACCACCCCAAGGTGGACTTGTCTCCTCAGTAACAGGACCCAGCATTCTCCAGGCTGTGCACCCAACCCAGGTCCTGCATCTCTAGCCTCTAGTGCAGCCAGGGGTGGTCAGGAGGGGAAGGGGAAATGCTGCACCAAATTCCACTTCTAGCCATGGACTCGATGGCAGGAGCTCCAGCAGCCACCTTGGACCACGAAGCGACTATGAGGGAAGTGCAGGCTGCGGAGGAGAGGAGTCTGGAGTAGGGGTGGGCTCCAAGCCACCCTGGACCACTGCCTCTGGACTGCTTCTCCATCGGGGAGCAATCCGTCTCTACCACACTGTTCTGATTTTCTCTATTATAAGCCACAGACGCACCCTCTGGGGAGCCTATTTTTATCTCCAACGTGTATATATAAACAAACAGGTTCAGGAGTTAAAGAACACATCCAAGTGTCAGGGCTGGGGTCCGAGTCCCACCCGAACGGGAAGACAGTGACGCCACCTCAGGCAGCTGCTGGAGGAATCACAGGACCTGCACGGGGGTCCGTGGCGCGGAGCCAGCCTGGAGCTGCCTGGTCGGTGGCCTGGCATCATTATGTGCTGTCTGGACCCCCAACCTGTGCTGGGGCTGAGCCACCCCAAGCCCCATGTCTGACCCAGGCCACTGTCCCCTGGGCCAACAGCATCCCCACAGGGAAGACCCTGCTGGACACAGGAATCCGGCCACCCTCTCATCCCCACCACGAAAGACCAGTCACTCTTGCAGAAAAGAGTTCGGGTTTATTTGCAGTAAAAACCGTGATCTGAAAAACCTACTGGCAAATGTACAGTCTGTATTCTGTTTGGGGTCACCAGCAGCTGCAGGAGCCCCAGATCGCTGACCCGCATGCTTCGGGCTCCTAAGTGTTCACAGCTGACCTCAGGCCCCGGCCCGCAGCCCCCCGAGGGCCTCCCGTCTCCTGCCAAAACCCCCCGGGCCCCAGCCTCCGCCCAGCCCTCCTCCCCGCCCGCACCCTGCAGGGCAAAACCAGAGCAAACCGAGCCCAGGTTTCGGAACGAACACAAACAAAACGAAACATTCACAAGAACCAGGCTTGCAAATCAGGTTTGCTCAGTGTCGTTACCATGACGCCTTGTTTCCTGATGATCTCAAACATACGTTAATCTCTTGCCTGATAAAGTCTCTTCCCTCTTATTCACAGATAGAAAACGGGAGCTTTGGATGAAATAATCACAAGCCTTTTTGCCCCCTTAAAAAGCAAACAAGCCAAACCCCAAACGAAACAAACAGAACCCAACAACAAAGACCAAAGCAAAACCTTTCTGACAACCGTAAACACAAGAGGCAGGCCGGCTTCCTCCTCCCCCGTCCCGGGCTCACGGCCGGGCCAGCCGGGCTGGCTGCGCCCCGCTGACAGGGGTTCGGGCCTGCTCTCTCCGGGAAGAGTCTTTCTTCCCCTTCTTCCCCCACGGCCCCCAACGCGGTCCTGTCACCCTCACTTCCAGCCGTCACGGGCTGCCTCCCCTCCTCCTTGCTACTCTCAGAGCCCTCCCCATCTCCTCCCCACACCAGGATGCTGGCTGGGTGAGCGACCTCAGGGGAACCCCCGGCCGCAGCGAGGCCACCAGCGCCCACGCCGGCAAGATCCAGCCCTCACGACGCCCAGTCTCGTGCAGCTGATCAAAGGGAGGAGGCGAGCCACGGAGCCCGGGTCTCACCGCAGCTTTGGCGCGGAGCTCGGGGGAGACAGGGTCACTGGGTCTCATGCAACGTCCGGGCAGAGGGAACAGGGTCAGAGGTCAAGGGCCAGGAGGAGTGAGGAGGGGGAGTTCAGGGGGTGGAGCCACCCCCAAGAGCACTTATTTCGGCTGGCCACGGTCCCGTTTCGTGGGCGGCAGGAGCCCTTGGAAGGAAACTTGCCAAGGCTAGAACCAACATCTGTGCAAAGGCTGGGGAGACCCTCAGGGGCCACCTTGCAGGACACGGGAGGCCCAGAGGGCCCGCCTGCCTGGGAGCAGTGGGGAGCCTCCTCCGGGGGAGGCGGGTGAGCAGCAGAGGCCGAGCGAGGGGGAACCCCGCTTTCTTCCCCGCCCACGTCAGGGTTACAAAGGCAGCAGCCACCTGGCAGCAGGACAGGACAGACACACCGAGGACGCGGGGCAAAGGGCAGTACCACTGGCTGGGGGCAGGGTCGGCAACTGCGACGTCCCTCCGGCTCCCCCCGAGAGCGCGGCCCGCCCCGGGGGCCTCCGCACGCCCCTGGTGCAGAGGGTCATGGGGGGTCGGGGGCCGCACAGGCCTCACCACGCTCTCCTCCTCTGTACCACGCACAGCTGGGGCCGGGCAGGGGCCGCAGCCTGGCTGCGGTCCCTTCTGCCTCTCAAGGCCTGAAGCCTCCCCCTGGGAGAGCAGGAAGCAGGAGGGCTGAGGATCCAGAGCCTGAGCAGGAGGGGCCAGGGGAAGGTCCCCTCTGCAGTCCCCAGCCCTCCCCCACCAGCATCTGCCATTCAGACCTAGGCTCCTGAGGGCCATCTCAACGGGACAGGAGCAAGGTGCGCTCTGGCCTCAGCGGTCACCCAGCACCCGGCTCGGGTGCCACTGGTGCTCCCTCTCCTCAGCACACTGGTGGTGGCAGGCAAGCAGGGCTGGCCTGGATCCCCTCTATGTACAAGCAGCGTACCCAGGACAGGCCGCCCGGGGCAGGCTGATGGCAGGACCGTCCATGTGCAGGACTTCAAGCACCCCCCACCCCACAGGCTGTGGAAGGCTGCAAGGTTGGCGGGCAACTCCCCTCCGAGTCACGGGCTAGAGGCAGACTTCAGAGCTGGAGCAACTCCTCCAAGAAAGTCCGCAAGTCCCAGCCGCACACTTGCTGTCACTGGACGCCCTCCTCTTCTACGTACGTTGAAGGAAACCAGCCAATCTGAAAAAGACGGCGGACTCACGTAAGCACGTGCACGTGCGTGTGCCTGCAGGTGTTCCGAGGTGAGGCCAAGCCGGGGCTCGTGGAGGCTGGGGAGCCTTAAGAGGCTGGCGTTCTAAGGCAGGTCCGCCCCAGGAGAGGCCCCGGCGAAGAGGCTAAGAGCCTGGTGGGGCCGCAGCGCCGGGGCAGGGGTCACTCTGAAATGCGCCAGCCCTGGGCAGTTTAAGATGACCTGCCCCCCTCACTGGCTGCCAACTGGAAAAAGTTAAACCCTCTCTGGAGGCAAGTAAGGTCATCTACGGCTTCTGCGGTGTTTCAGACGCAAGCTCAGCGCCAGCGAGGACCAAGGGCAAGAGCGCAAGAGAGAGTGCAGACCACGGAAGCCAGCCGGCAGGGCGTCCAATTGTCGCAGCCACCCGTCCGGACAGGTAACAGCGCTAACCCGTGTGCTGCAGAAAGCTGACGGAAAAGCAGAGAATTTCACCTGAGAGCCGAAACCAGAAATCAAATAGAATCCTAGACCTGGAAGATAGAATGACCGTAATTACTGAAAGGATTTAAGAGCCGATGAGACAAAGCAGAAAAGACGAATAAACTGGAGTAAAAAGTAGCTAGATGGAAATCCAGAGACAGTAAATGGAAGACACGTAACAGCGTAAACAACACGGAGGCCGTGGTGAAGACGACCCCGCATCCACGCGGACTGAGCCCCAGAGGGAGAAACGAGGGACTGGAGCAGACGTGGCCTCTGAAGAAATCTCCCAAGCTGATGCAGGACACCAAGCCGCACGCTCCAGAATCTCCGCGAACCTCGGACAGGACAGGTGCGGGGAAGAGCGCGCCAGGCGCATGGTAACAGAGCGATGAGAGACAAAGGCTTGTTTTCTTTTTTCAGCACAGACCCCGGAGGGGAGTAGCGCACACACTTCCTGCAAAGGGGCCCCAGTAAGAACGCGGACTGACGCTTCCACGGAAATGACGGGGGCCTGGTGACCATGGAGAGACATCCTCAAAGTGCTGAAATGAAAGGTCTTCCCGCCTGGAATTCTAAAGCCAGTAAAAACGCCCTTCAAAAGTGAACTCGATACAACTGCTCACAAAAAGGAAGCAGGTCTCACTGGGGAGACGACTGACTCCTGGGAGACAGCGACGAAGGGGAGCAGCTTCCCCACAGCAGGAGGCCCGCTAACACGTCCACAGGAAGTAACGGGGAGTCAGCACCGTCCACGCCGACAGAGGTAACTGGAGAGGCGAAGGGCATCGATGCACGACGAAGCTAGCGGCCAAAGTGTGATGAGGGAGGCACGCTCATCTGATTTCAAACTACCACCCTGCACATTACTTACGAGTTACCGTCGCTTTACGGTGGAGAAACGTGGCAGACACCGCCTTAACCCGGTGATCAAAGTTACCATCGCAATAATGGGACAAACTGACACCGTGAGCCTCTCGCCAGGACACTGCACCAATGACAAAGACATGACGCCCCCACTGTGCTGTTCCCACAAAAACTACCACCTCAACTCAATTGTAAGAAATGCCATACCCACCTGAACGGACGCACAGTCCACAAAGATAACTGGCCCACACTCTTCACAGTGGCAAAGGCACGCAAGACAGAGAGAAGCTGAGGACCTTCCCAGATTAAAGAGAGCTGAGGGTCATGGCCAACAAAGGCAGCGCCAGACACGACTGCGACAGCTGTGGAGTCTGAGTGGGTTAGACACTCGTATCAAAGGGAAACGTCCTTGATCTCAGGAAGCGCACACTGAATTTCTTTAGGCGTAAAGGGCTATGATTTCTGAGACTGACTCTCAGATGGTTTAGGGAAAAATAAACGCGCATACACACAGAGAATGCAGATGAAAAGCCAAGTGGGCAAACCATTCTTAACTGGTAAATCTGGGCGTATGGGGGTCCTTCACACGACTGCAACTTTTCTTTCAATTTGAAATTGTATCAAAGTAAATTGCAAACATTTTACAATGAAAACATTTTAAACAGAAAGTGAAATAAAGACGTATTCAGATCCAGCAAAAATTGAGCAGACCCTCACACGAAGGAAAGGAAACTTCAAGCACCACGAATGTGGTTTTGGGTGGAAACACAACAACGCAGGAAGGAAGGCGGAGCCCTGGGCCAGGTACAGAGGTAACTTGAAATGAACGTTAACGGTTTAAAACAACAGTAACGTCTTATGGGGTTAAAAAATATGTCAAATAAGACACATGACGATACCCGCACAAAAATTGGGAAGAAAATTAATGTAGTCAAAGGTTCTAAGGTCCTTGCGTTGTCTGGGAAGCGGTGAAAGTACTAACTTGAGGTGCTCTCTCAGAAGTCAAAGTGCACATTGCAACCTCCAGGGTAACCGCTTAAGGAACAGGAAAAGAATGTGTAACTAGCAAACTATGCAAGGGAGCGAGAAGTGGAATAGAAAAACTGACCAATCCGAAAGTAGGAAAGAAAACACAAAATAAGGAATAGGTGTCGCAAACAGAAAATGAACAGATGGTGCATTAAGATCTCAATTTCTCAGTGCTCACATTAAACGTAAATGGGCCACAAACACCAGTTGAAAGGCAAATGCTGTCAGATCAGATTTGCTCATAGAAGTCCATTCATGATAAGACTTTATTGCACAGCTATCTTAAATGCAAGAGTACAGAGAAGTTGAAAGTCACACAAGAACGAAAAAAGTGTGCCACGCGAAACACTGATCCCTGCAAGAAGCTTGTGCCTCTCTAGTGGCAGGTAAAGTGGCCGTCACAGCAAGAAGAACTGCCAGAGAAGAGACATTCCACAGCAGCCGGGTTTAAGTCCCAGGGGTACCCAGCAGCCCTCTAAGTCAGCGGGTCTAGGACTGAACTCTGCACGGACATCACCCGGGGAACTGGCTGGCTTCACGACTGGGGCGAGGGCCCAAGTGTGTGCTTATAAATCACAGCTCCAGGTGCCTCCTACTTTTGAGAGCTAGTGGCCCCAGCCCTCTAGGTTGGCTGCCTAGGACCCAGTGGCAGATGGAAAATGGATCCGACCCGAGGGCCTCCAAGAGACAGACAACATGCTAGGTGGAGGCAAGCCAGTTCCTGCCACCTGGTAAAGGAATGGTGAGTGATGGGAGCCAAGTCTGGCCAAGTCTGCGGGCAGCCGCAGCTCCCAGGAGGGCGCCATGTCTCCTAACGCGTGGTTCATGGAGCTCCGGCCCCCTGCTGCGTGACTGCCAACAGGCAGCTGGAGGTCTGGGGGTCCAGACAGGCGACTATGGTAAGTGGCCACGGGGGCTCAGAGCCTCAGGTTGGGTGGGGACACCAAATGTCCCTTCCCATCTCACTAGGGTGTAAACTGGGCCTTAAGGAATGGCAGGAGGTCAGTGAGGACACCCAGGCTATTCCTGGTCCCATGGCCTTCCTGCTGCAAAGAGGGTTGGCCACATGCAAGTGACTGGAAGACTGCACCCCACACTGTCCCCCTGCTGTGGCCACAAAGGACCATAGGATAGGACTGGGGCCAGATCTGAGCCAGGGAGTCACCTTCCTCACTGTGCCATCTTGGCTCATGGAGCCTGTGGATGGACACCCAGTCTCCTGGGTGCGGTAAGAGGGCAGGGTCATTTTGTGCCCAATCCTGCCTGCCCGATCCCCACAGGGGCCGAGCCGGAAGGCCCCCCTCCCAAGCGCCGCAGGGATGTGGGGCCCCGGCGCCGGGCCGGCCCACTCACCCGGCCGTTGGTCTCGCCCTTCCACCAGCCCTGGTCCCCGCCGATGCGGCTGTAGATCTTCACCACGTCGCCTTCCCGCAGCGAGAGCTCCCGCATGTCCCGGGCGGCGAAGTTGTACCTGGCCACGGCCGTGCCAATGACGCGGGGCGTGAACACTGCTGGGGGAGATGGGTGGCATCACAGGGCTGCAGGGCTGGGGTCCTTCGGGCCAAGCCGGGTCTCTCTCCCAGCGCCCAGCCCTGTGCCCACAGAGGAGGCCGCCAAGCAGAGAGGCCCTGGGGGGACAGACCAGGCTCTAACCCCAGGGCCCCTGAGAGACATGGCCTATCCGAGCTCCACTGACAAGGGGGTCGGAGCCTGGCCACCACAAGAGGGGCCGTCACAGGCAGCAAGCGTGCCCGTGGGGAGGAGAGCAGATGCCGCCGCTCGGACCTGCTCCTGCGGGGCCTTCCTGTGTGCCCAGTGCATGGGCATCACGTGGCCAGCAGACAGCTGAGCGACCTCTGCCCAGCTCCCAGCCTTCACCCTGACAAAGTGCCTGGAACTGGACCCCATGGCACCAGTGCCTGACCTCCCTCGTATCTCCAGTTCCAGAGCCCAAACCAAATTGGAAACCCAGCTGGAGCAGCCTGGCCCAGGGCCGAGGAGCCCCGACAGGCAGATGAGCATGGCCATGAGGGGAGGGCAAACATGGCAGGAGTTGCGGGAGGGCTGTGACTCTGGCAGCAGAGGGCCGCGCGGTGAGGGCCATTGGAGGCCTGTTCCCCTGCACCCAAGTCTGTAAGTGCTCCTTACTGCCGCCACGGGGGGCCCGCCCCAGGTCTGCTCCCACCCTCCCCCCAGAATGGCTGCTGGCTGATTGCTGCTACCAGAGGCAAAGCCCCAGTGAGCAATGGGGGACAGTGGCTGATAAGCTGAGTGGTCACAGGGGTGAGCATGTCAGGTGAGGGCAGCGCCAAGCCTGACTGTCCACAGGTGCTGCAGCAGCCC